GGAACTGTAAACCAAAATAAATTCCTCCTTCTCCAAATTGCCTCCGTCATTGTATTTTTATCACAGCAACAGCAAAGTACGGTCAAGAGTACAGTAATCTTTATTTTGTTTCCTCTCTCAGCCTGGGAGCAGTGTGATGTGATAATTTGAATGTGGATTGTCCCTCTAGGCTCATGTTTTGGAAGTTTGTAAGGTGACTGTTGGTACAGTATTGGGAGGCTACGGAACGCTGAGGAGGGAGGGCCTGGCTGTAAAAAGCAGGACACTAGGTGTGGGACCTTTGAAGGTCATAGTGAGTTCCCTGCACACTCGGCTTCCTGGCCCCGGCTGCGTTAACAGCCAATGCCACATGCCCATAGACCGAGTTGCCCGGCTCTTGCCTATCTTGACAGACTTACACAAGTCTGTTTGGCTGAGCCAAACAAGTCTTTCCTCCATTGCTTCTGCCAAGTATTCCAGTCACAGCAGTAACAACTTACTCAGAAGATCTTACAGGTCGATGTTTCACTTCCTTATCCTACAGTGAAAGGCAGGAGGGTCTCTGCTTCCCCTTTGGTTTTGTTTGAAACCGGATGCTGTTAGCTAAACCAAAGTCACACCATCTTGTTAGAGAGGGCCAACATACACACTATTGGATCCTAATAAAGATACTTAGTGTATGCAAACCCCTATTCCGCTCAGATACACGCCAAAGGCTTTTACTCACAGTGACGGCTACTCTTGGTTGTCAACTTGACTGGATCTGGAATCAGCTGAGACATGCCCCTGCGGGTGTCCATTGCTACTTTTGTCTGCTGAACTCTGCTTCCGGAGGAGTGTGTAGCTTACTTCCCCCGCTGAGGTGTTTTCTGATGTGGGGACTCAGCTTCTTTGGCTCTTCCAACAAGAGCTAAGGCTCTCTGGGAGTCGTCCAGGCCTTCAGCCCCAGATCGAAAATGCCAAGGCAGCTGGCTTCGTTCATCAAACAGCTATGACTGGATTTTGCAGCCTCTCTAGTGCACAGACAACCACTGTCGGACTCTCCAGCCTGTATTGTATAATCCAATCTAATAACTCACCTTTGTAATATATATTCTCTCATTCTATTGGTTCTGTTCCTCTAGAGAACCCTGATTAACACACACACACACACACACACACACACACACACACACACACACACCACAGTCTCCATTAAGCCTCATAAAAACCCTGTGGTGTAGACATTTATATTATCCCTATTTTTAAAATAAATATATATATTTTAAAGAGGCAGAGCGAGTTCAAATGTGTGATTTATAATCTCACAGCTTTGTTGGTATACTGTTGTTTGAAACAGGATAATCTAGTACAGGAGCCACAATTCTAACCAGTCCTACGCTTCCTTGCCAGTTAGGAATCCATTCAAAGGAATAAGAGTGGTTTTGAATAAAAACAACCAAAATCCAGGAAAAAGAACAACACAGCAGGGCTTTTTTTTTTTTTTTTTTTTTTTCTTTATGTAGCCCAAACTGGCTTTAAACTCATGATTCTTGTACCTTATCCTTCTAGATGTGGGGATTACAGTTGTGTATCACCATGCAGCTAAATAAATAAATAAATAGATAGATAGATAGATAGATAGATAAATAAATAAATAAATAACATCTTTACGTGTAGAAAATAGGGTGGCTGATGCTAAAATCTGTGTGTGGCTCTGCAAGTCAGACAAACCTAAATTTGAGAACCACACCAGCACTTCCTAGCTGGAGAAATTTCTGGTTTTCATTTTCATACTTTAAAAATGAAGTTAATAATAGCACCAACCTCACAGCTGTTGTGAGGAATAAAAGGAATAACTTCAAGGCTTACTGTGGCACCTGATATTTGATAAATGACCCCTAACTGTTGGCTGTTATCCTTGTTTTTGGTATTTTGTTCTTCTCCAGCTTCTCAGCTGCCACTTCCTTTTCCCTGCTGTCTTTGTGTTCCAGGCAACTTTTCCCACCAAGTTGAGCCACGGTAGAATGCTACTGACACTGTCATTAGGCAACCATATCCTCACATTTGTCCTGTAATTCTGTCAGCTACCCACTAAATCATTACTGACTTACTATCCCATTATAGATTTTTTAAAAAATTCTTTATTAATTATACTTTATTCACTTTGTATCCCCCTTGTGGTTCCCTCCCTCCTCCCGTCCCAATCCCTCCCTTCCTCCACCCTCTGCATGCATGCCCCTTCCCAAGTCCACTGATAGGGGAGGTTTTCTTTTCCTTCCTTCTGATCCTAGACAATTAGGTGTCATCAGGAGCTTCCTCAAGATCCAGCTATACCACTCCTAGGCATATACCGAAAAGAGGCTCAAGTACACAATAAGGACATTTGCTCAGCCATGTTTGTAGCAGCCTTATTTGTAATAGCCAGAAGCTAGAAACAGCCCAGATGTCCTTCAGTGGAGGAATGGATACAGAAATTGTGGTACATCTATACAATGGAATATTACCCATTATAGATTTTTCATCTACAAATTCTAATTCAGAGTTTCCCCTGTCATCTGGCTTACAAGTGCACTGTGTTGAAAGTTCCCAAGTGATGCTTTGAGAATGTGCTGCACAGTCCTTATCTTACTTCTCAGAAAACTTAAAAGTTGTTCTTAGGGGAACAATCACTGCTTTGCATTTCATTATTGAAGAGAAAATCTGGAAGAACAATATCAACTTTTAAATGAAATTATAGGCCTGGAAGGGAAGCATAAATGTAAAAAGGAGAACACCTCATTATCACTCTTTCATGCTGCTGGAGTGAAATTCGAATCATTGCATATTCCAACATCAAAAAGTCTCTTGGATATACTAAAGAACATCATTATGCACACAGCAATAAAATGAGAGTTATTAGACGGAGACACTAAGAATAAAAGAACACCAAGACAGACTCTTAAAATGGATAACATAATAGGTTCACTAATAAGTATTCTGGAGTGGCTCTAAGATTTTCCAATTGAGACTGAATTCCTTGGGGTTGCCAACTAGTCAGGAATATCAAACTCATTATTGTCTCCTTTTGTTTATTTAAATCACCTTGACTCTTTGCTAACTCATATAAGATTGTTTCTACCTGTATCTACCTAAATACAAAGAAGTAGTTAATTTTGGTATTCGTATTTATGAATGAAATGAGGCTTCTTTTTAAAGACCAAGAATGTCCACAATAGGCTTTTGAACAAAGAACGAGCTTTTGAAGGACACATGTTTTACCATCTGAATATAATCCTCTAAATTGCCTTCATAATGCAGAAACTTCTCACTGCAGAATATCGAAGAATTATTGCATGTCACCTCAATAAACCTAGTCACTAAAGTTTCTTTTTTAGTAGATGGTAGTGCAGTTAGAAATAAACATAACTCATCATTTCCCTTGCCATTTCTATTTACTTATACAAAATAAACCTAAGTTCCTAGTGGAATCAAACAAGTGCTCAGAATTCTATAACCGGACAGCAGAAATAAAAATGTTTGTAGTGATTTGAGTGAAAATAGCCCCCACTGGCTCATGACATGATTAGTAGGTATGGCCTTGTTAAAGGAAGTGTGTCACTGGGGGTGGGTTTTGAGGTCTCAAGTGCCTAAGCCAGGCCCAGTGTCTCTCTGGACTGCTGGCTGCCTGTGGATTCAGACGTAGGACTATTGGATCCTTCTCCAGCACCATGTCTGCCTGGATGCCACCATGCTTCCTGCCACCACAATAATGGGCTAAACCTCTGAACTGTAGGCCAGCCCCAGTTAAATATTTTTCTTTATAAGAGTTGCTGTGGTCATGGTGTCTCTTCACAGAAATGGAAACCCTAACTAAGACAGTGTTCTAAAGAGATAATCATGTCTTCCAATTTATGAGACTGCTGAGAAGATGGACCATCCACACACACAAAGGGGGCTTTCCCCAGGAATCTCATGCTAGAAGAAGGGAAGGCCACTAGCAGGGGGTGGAGTGGGGTGGGGGTGGGGGATGGGGGTGGGGGTGGAGAGTGGGGAGTGGGGGGGTAGGCGGGTCTCTAACCACTGGTCTTAGCATTTTACAGGGTGGGACTGAGGCTCAAGCAACCATGGCTCAATGGTGTGGGAAGTCATGGCATGACCTGGTTAGCTTACATACGCAGTTCCTTGGCCTTCTAGTCAAACTTCGATCTTACTTCAGGAACCCCAAGGTGGACTTGGTGAGCTCTCTGGATCTCTTTCCCTCGTCCGTCCCAATGTGGCCACCTTGAGTAAATCTCTTTTCTGCCTTCCACTTTTAATTAGCTTATTGGGACTAGCGGCGGAACCATAGTTCTTGGGGCACAGTGGTGACCCCCTGGAGTTCCAATAACACTTTCAGCCTCTAAGAACGCAATCGTTAAAGTCTGTAATTCTAATCCCAACCCCCTCTGTCTTTTCAGTAGCCGTAAAACTACAAAGCTCTGAATTAACCGAATAGGCTCTACAGGCAGGCAATAGAGCTAATATTTACCTCCCCCAAAGGCTGTTGATTCTCAATAAAGGAAAAAAGGAAGCCCTCATCCCACACTCTGCCCACATGTTAGGAAACTGCGGTTAGGAGCTCCTTTCAGATCTCTCACCACATGAAGGCGTCTACAGCAAGAACCTGAGCCCAAATCAAAGGACACAAGAAATCAACTGAAAGTAATAGTAAGAGGGGTGTTTTTCCCCCACACAGCAAAAAGTGGAATTTCAGGGAAGCAACTGCTGCAGTTCTCTGAGATTTTTAGAAGGCAATGCTTCCCTGGGGTAGCCAGTACGGGCACAAGACCTCGAGACTGGGAGTCCTGCTCGACCGGATCGGGTCCCTGGACTACAGCAGCCTAAGACGACCCGCAAGGCCAGGCCCCGCCCACGGAGGGAGGTCCGTCCCTAACCAGCGAGAGCGGAGCGAGGAGACCCTCCGGCGTCCTAGAGCGGCCCCGGGTGGTGCGGCAGTGGGCGGAGCGTCTCCTTGTCCCAGTCCACGCGAGCTCAGTGCTCTAAGCGGCTGGTGGCCCGGTTGTCCACACTCCCCAACAGGGCTTCTGACGGAGGGCAGCTGCAATGCCCACGCCCGCTGCCCTGGGCAGGCCGCTCCCCTGCCCGCAGCGGCCCTTCCCCAGCAGAAACCGGGCTCAGGCTGCACTGAGCTGAGCCTGCGGCAACGACCAGAGGACAGGGTTGGGCTTCCTGGCCCAGGGCTGTGCCTCAGGGGTCGTCAGACACTGCATGGCTGGTGATGAGTATTTCCCGTGTCAGAACTGAGAAAATGCGTGAGAATACTAGTAACTTGTTTTGGGCCTGACATTGTTAAGCACTTTAACCGGAATCCATAGACAATACGGGCAGGCCCTGGAGATAAACATTCGTTCACCGGTGGTCACTGATGGTTTTTTTTTTTTTTTTTTCCAGCGGAAGATGAAATGTTGGTTGCAGTTTCCAAGAGCAAATGAATTCTAACCAACTACAAAAGACGCTATTTAATCCCGATTTTGAGTGCTTAAAATAGGGAGACTCCTAAAGAGGCTAAGGGCGGGGGTTGGGGGGGGGGGAGCTTCCCCAAAATATTTCATCTGCGAAACGAAGATGAGAAAGACCCAAGCGGTGTTGGGTCTATACCTAAGAAATAGCAAGTATGAAAACTCAAGCAGGAAGGTGTATTGTAATTGTGGGACTCCAATCTGCGGACCGTGGTAGCCGATTGTCCTTTACTGTGATAAGCACGATGTAGGAGCGTCCCTAACTTGATCTAAACAGACGTCTGAAGCCCTAAAGAAACCTGGCAGCATCTGTGGTCAGTCTCTCATTGCTTCCGAAGTAAAATGTAAACAGCTGATTTCCGTGGAATGTTTCCTATCAAACCAAGGTCCCATACGCAGCTCTACCTCCTCCTCTCATGAAGCTTTCGCTGTGCTCTCTACTCCATCTCCTTTTGGACCCCTATGTTATTAATTTCTACTTACAAGCTGTTTAAAGCGTTGAGCATTATGAAGAAGCTTTGTTTTTATTTAGCACATGGATTCAAGGTATCCTGATTATCTTCATAAATGTAGAATGTGTTTGTTCTTTAACCACTTCCTGCTAGCAAAATGGAGTAATACTATGGTAATAAACATTTGCAATTTAAGTAAAGACATGATTGTGAATTAAAGGAATCCTTTCCCTTTTCTTTTCTTTGGGATCCTTTCATCTCCTATCCATGCCAACTAGGCCCTGGAGAACCATCTGATCGCCAAAGGATGGAAGCTGAATCACCCTCATGCTACCACTCACTTTCCTGACTTGAAGGAGATTTTATAAATATATATTCTTTTAAATTTTTAAAATTCCTTTGATGCAAGTGTCTTGTAGCTCAGATTGACCTTGAATTCTTGATGTTCTTCTTCCAAAGTGCTGGGATAATAAGTGTTTGCTACCATGCTCAGCAATATTTTAATCTTAAATTTCCTTTACTGATGACTGGTCACATCACTGTAATTTTATTATTCAAGTATATTACTTTTCTCCTGCCATATTTATCAATAGAAGGCGGCATTTTCAAACTGCTTATTTCTGAACCGAAAAAGAGATGCAACCATGGATAGTATAGAAAATGTGCCCAGAAGTTGGCTGGCAGTTTCTTCTTAACGTTTTGGTGGGTACTGGAGGGATCACTCAGCGGAACAGAGCACTTACTGCTCTTGTAAAGGACCCAAGTTCACTTTCCACAACCCAGGTCAGGTGGCTCACAACCACCTGCAAATCCGTTTCCCATGAGATCTGACACCCGAGAGCTCTACTAGTAGCTGCATTCATGCACACAGAGATATGTACATAATTAAAATATAAATCTTCAGCATTTCTTCTTGCTTATGGTGATCGGTATAAAATTCTTATCACGTAGTGGTCAAGGGCTCTCCCACTGATCGACAACCCCAAACTGGTTCCTCCCTTCGTTCACACATCCTGATCTGTCTGTGATTCTGTCTTGCACATTGTGCAGTTGGGTCCTCCCGTACTGAACAGATTTCTCTGAGGACAGAGTCTGAGTCTTTGTTTCCCCGGGACTGTGCTGCTCCCTAGTGATGTGGATCACCTTGTCCTCCCTTCAGCAAGAATCCTGTTAGCTTGGTTGAGCAAGAATTCTGCTTACTGGATGGTTTTCTCACAGAAATTGCCCCTCTACTGTCCCCCTGTATGTTTCTTGCTCACAAATCCCCACGTATACATGCCGTTCCCACTTCTACAAAGTTCCCTTAGCCTTTGAACCTCTTTTAATAACAAAAACACACAACTTACTCTTGTGATAATAGTATTAATCTAGCTGCAAGTACCCTGTTATGACCAAACACCCCCCATCAGGCCCTGCGTCCCAATCCTTTGCATTGGGAATTGCCTCTAACCTGAACTTCGGTGGGGGTTATATTAAAATTGTACTTCTGCTACCATTTTTCCCAATATGATATCTAAAACCTGCTTTTAATTTACTCCACGATTTTTCTATATCTTTCTATTTACTTTTGCATCTTACAGTGTATCTATATACCTGTGACTTGCTTTGTCAGCTTGAAAATCTAACCTCACAGGCTTGGCTGTACACAGAATTCCACATCTTACCTCTCCCACCTTTCCTCCTTTCCACTCTCCTTATGTTCATTCTATTTGTTCTCTGTGTCATGATTTATAAGCTTTGCTGTCCATCGTAAAATCTTGATTTTCATGGTTGTTTTACCATGGTTTCCATTAGATAGATTTGCTGCTTTCCACCAACACAGAGTGGAAATAGCACTAGCTTCCCAAGGCTGTTAAGAGAACTGAATGGAAATATTGACACAGTAGTCATTCAACTTTCCTGAAGACTTACATAGTGGTAACCTTGTAGCAGGTGCATGGCAATACAGAGGTCAACATTAGATCTCTTTTAGGGAGCTCCCAAACTCATAGAAGAGGAAAAAAGATTGCAAATATGGTGTGTTTCAGAGATAAGCACATCATGCCCCAGATTAGAGAAGATATTCCTGACCTGGGCACGGGGATGGGTAAAGAAATGTTTCTCAGGAGTGAGTGGCAACAGTCTTAAAGGATGAATGAGATATGACCATTCAGTGAAACAAATACATTCCTGATGTAGACACCAGAGAAGAGGCGCGAGAGAGACTCATGATTAGGACTCATTAATTTTGAATGTTTAGAATGGTGTGAGTGTGGAAAAAGCAAAGCGATGGGACTGAGACAGGCAAGAGGGAGTTTGCAAGGGGCTGGAGAGATTGTTCAGTGGTTAAGTGCACATGTTTGCTTTCTATTGCTGCCATAAATGTTATGAATAAAAGCCCCCTGAGGATGGAAGCTTACAGTTGTGATCTGTCTTAAAGGGCAGTCCGGAGAGGAACTCAGGGCAGGAACCCAGAGGCTGGAACTAAGCAGAGGCCACAAAGGGTCACTTAGTGGCTTACTCAGCCTGCTCTTTCTTTTTATTTTACAAAGCAAACTTTTATATAAATGAAGGACCTTCCTGGGTCTCGTTAATTGTCTTTACAGAAGGGGACAGAAAGGGGGAAGAGGACACACAAAGTACAAAATCCCAGTGCTTCAAATCAACTTGTGGCCTTGTCACACACAACAGAAACCCCAGTGTCATGAGCAGTGCCTTCACTGCTCACTGTCTAGAATCCTGAGTTTCCTGGAGAGACTAGGAAGGCGACAGGACCATTTGCTGGCATGGTGTACCCCTCACTCACACCTTGGTGACACTCAGCTGTGGTCTCGTTTCAGGGTAAGCTTACAAACCATACAAAGTTGGAAGCATCTTTATGTGGGTGCTAAGATTCAAGAAAAAGTAAAGGGGAAAAAAAAAAAAAAAAAAGGAAGATAGAAGACCCCGGGGAGAGGTAAGAGTGTTTGGAGGTACCATGATAATGCCAAAAATATTTAAATCCCCTTTTCTTAATAAAAAAAAAAAAAAAAAAAGGTGTTTTGGGTTTGTTTGTTTGTTCAGCCTGATTTTTTATATAGCCCAGGGGTGGCATTGCCTTTACTAGGCTGGGCCTTCCCACACCAATCCTTAATGAAGGAAATGCGCCCCTACCCCCCAACTTGCCTACAGGCAATCTGATAGGGACATTTTCTCAATGGCAGTTCCCCTCCCAGATAACTCTAACTTTGTCAAGTTGACACACAACAGCAATAAAAACAAAACATAACCAGGTCAGAGCACTTGTTTTTGTTGTTTTTCCAGGTGAGCTGAGTTTGAGTTTTCCCACTCATATCAAATGACTTACAACTGCCTGTAACTCCAGATCTAGGGAGATCTGATGCCTCCTGACTGCCAAGGGCACCCGCGTTCACATGCACGCACACGCATAATTTAAAATAGCAAAAATAACCCTTTTGGAAAGGAGGGCATTTGCGAAAGGCCTTTTGAGTCTCTTGCCTATAAAGCTGTCCGTCATGCTGAGAATGTAAACTGGCAACTCTTAAAACAGGGGAGAGGAAAACGTGTTCCTGTTTCCATGCCCCAGTCAATAGCACAAACATTTTAGAGTATTTCCAAAGGAGCCAGCCATGGCCAGCAAGCTAATGGCCAGGAATGAGATCACTGAGATCTTTGGATGTGTTAGGCCTGGGCACTAATGGTCATGTTCTGTTTCCTTTTAATCCTAAACCTGCTGTGATGTTTTATGGCTATGATATAGAATCAGTCATGCTATGTGGAATTCTGGGAGGGCTTGTCTGAGGAGTCAGAAAGATGCAAAGGAGAGACCAACACCTCTCACCTAGCCTCGGGTAACAGTAATGGCACTGCCTGTAGAGAAACCTGCCCACCTGAGCAGACAGTGTGGTCTTGCAGGAAAACATGGCAGCCTTAGAGCTTCAGTGGACAGAAATGAAAACCGGGCTTTCAGGATAACACTGCAGGGAGACAGTGTTAAGGGATCTATACATAGTGTTAAGTGAGCTATACATAGCAAGCCATTCCCTAAACGTTAGCAGTTAATTCACACGCTAGCAAAGTAGTCTCCTTATAGGGTGAATTAGCACATACATGCACATGCAGTTCGAATGTGTTTGCAGAGACACGCAAGTATCAGTCAGTGCTTGTGAATATGTACATATTTTCTGTCTTCCTTTATAAGCCTAAACCTGTTTGTATAAAACCATGTATCAAGTCCTTTAAAGCTACTGACATACATTTTCAGTCGCTGCTAGAAGAGGGCTTTCCTTCTCGAGAAGAGATTTCATGGTACGGATGGTTTGGTTTGGTTTGGTTGGGGATAACCTCCATCATGGAGGACTTTCCTGTGCTTTTGAAGTTGTTGAGTTGGGCCTTCATTTTGTTTTCTTGGATGGCTCTATGACAGCATTGTCCAGTATCACAGCATCCTACAGTTACACAGGAAACACACCTTCTCACTGCTCAAGTTATGGCAGCGTCCAGCTTGATTCTTGGATTAGCTGTCATTAGCCTCTGAGAATTTGCAGCTTTAAGCAGGTCCAAAGTCTTGGTGTCTTCATGCTAGTTAAATGTTTTCTCCTCTACCCTAACAAATTAAGATATACCGATATTATCAAATCTTCCTTAGGATATCAGCGATGCCTGAGAATAACTAGAGGCCTGTATATTTCTGTTAAATTTAGTGCTGAAGGAAGGTTTGGGGAGTTACAGATGGGTAATATACATGTATTATATATGTAAATTAAATGTGTTTGTTTACTCTTCTGATTCTTTCTAATTTCAAAAATAGTGAGCTCATGGTATATCATATATTATTTTAATGAATATATCAACTTAATAAAGGGAAAAGTATTGTTTGCATATCATTTTGTGATTTCATTGTGAAATTTACAAATGAAGTATTAAATATACCCAAATAATTTAAAGAGAAATAGAGAGAACACGATTAGCTACAGTTTGGCTCACACTTGAATCAGAGCAGAGGAAAAGAGAGTCCACAGTCCCTTGAAGGCTCCTCCCTTAAGGCCCTACCTCCTCAAGTTCCCCCACCTCCACACACTTTAGGGGCTATTCACAGCCAACCATCTGCAAAACGGTAGTCTTTGACATCATTAAAATTTTTAGGCCTAAATAATAAAGGTAGTATTGCACTTACTTCAGAACATTTCCACTTTCCATCACTTTGAGGTCTTTAGTTCAC